GGGGGAGGCTCGTGCTCCGTATATGTTATATATATATACTATATAACCTCGAATATATATATATATCAGACCACGCATAAAGCTTTAGCGAGTTTGCGGAGATCCCCTTAGTATACAAACATTGTACATACTTTACACTTTCCACCTTATATCTGTATATCGCAGCCATCTTCATCCAATGGCGCTCTTGACGTTCTTCCGCTTTTTTCTTTTTACTTTTCTTCTTATCCTCTTATCTTCTTCCACTTGGCTTATCTTTCTTTGCTTATGGGAGCAACGCGCCTATAGACACTTACGTGCCATTTTCGAATAAACACGACCTGTCATTCGTAAGTGAAAAAAGCTTCCGAGTCACCGAACAATAAGAGATGCAGGTTAGACAGGAGAGAAGGGGGAGGGAGAGAGAATGAAGGAATATTTTATAGAGAGAGAGAGAGAGGAAACGTTGAGTACCTAACCTGTAAGGGAGGAAGGGACACTGGGCTATAGAGAACAGAAGGAAAAGTCAAAGACCTCCATTGCGAATCGCGGAAGTGTGTCTTTTATATGGGAACGCCGTTAACCGACTTTTTCGAACGATCCTGACAAAAGTTACTCTAGTTTCCCGTTTAATTAGATCCTTTCGATTTTGCGTACGTGGTTCTATGCGTCACACGTGAATCGGCGCGTGACAAATTGTAGCTCGATGAAAAAGAAAAAAAGTGAAAATGGGAGAGATAGAGAAAAAGAGAAAAAGAAAGACAAAGGAAGAATGCCAACAAACCAAATATGCAGACAAAAGAAAAAGAGTGGAGATATACGCTTAATTAAAGCCTCGACTCCGATAATTGAATTTCAAGCACGAAGAGAATAATTGCCATCGCCGCCTACGGCCGTTCGATAACCGCATCGATTTCATTTCTCTTTTTAGATTATTTCCATATGCACATGTACGACAGATTGCCGTTGCGTCCTTTATTCTAATCCCGTTTAAATGTTTAATAAGTGCTTCTCTTCCCTCCCCTTATTCATCCATCCATCTCAGCCTCCTTATGGACCCCTATAAATCCTTCCTCCCCTCCCCATCCCTCCATCCATGAGCCTCACTTTGCGCCACCGGGTAGCATCGCGTAACAAATATCAAAGAGCCGAGACTTTTCAGCATGTGCACGGAGAACGGCAGGAGGGAAGGTAAGGATAGCTTGGCAGATAGGTACTATACCTAACCTAAAAGGTGACTTCAGGCCAAGAGGCAGCGCGAGCTAAATTGACCTTAGCCCCTCGCAGTATTTCCTTGGAATTGGAAATCAATAATCATCCCTTCAAAGTTTTGCTGCGATTACAAACGTATGGAGATCCCGTGGTTTTGTAATGGGGCACGCGTTCTTTTCTCATTTCAATTTAAAATTAAGCAAACATTTAAAAAAAAGGATCTAGGTGGGCAGGTTGCTGAGCATGTAGTTTCTCGGGCTAATTTTCGAAAATCTCACCCTCCACCTTTGGACAGACTTTTTTTTCGAAATCGATTAAAGGACGCGCCACACGAAATTTCATGCAACAGCGAAGCTGTTGATGCAAACAGAAATACAAGATAATCTTCCGATCATTCCGATCGCGATATAGTTTTGATACGGTTAAGGGCAGGGGAGGACGTGGTGCCCAGCTGTCGCCCGACGCCCCGAGGAAGCGGCCGTGGAGGATCTCCAAAAGTCTTACCGATAGTACCGGTCCACTAAGGAACGCTCTCGATTTGGTTTAAAGGGACCAATCGAGGGAGATGGAAGAGTTATCGGCTACAAGGATCTCGACCAATCAGATGATCAGAATGATTAGTTCTCGAATTTGGCTATTGTCAAAGCAGTCTGTCACGGGGCACCGACCGCGGTGTTACGTTCAGGTGTCACTCGCCTTCCCGTGCTATCTGTTTATAGTTTTTCTAGCCGTGTTTCGATACAGTGTAGCAAGTTCTCGCTCGTGTAGTTCTCGCATTGCTCTCGCGATATCCAGGAAATTCTATGAATTTCCTCTGAGTGTCCCGGAGGTGTAGTGCCGTGCCCTAGTGCAGTGCCCACCCGAGTTCCCCTTGGATACCGTTCTCGGCCTCCACGGATTAGCTGCACCAGCTCCGGTGAGTCTCCCAATTAATTAATTGCTCAAGGGATTTCGATTAGATAGTTCCGATTCGTTCTGTTACGTTCTCGATTCGTCGCTCTCTGTCTCTCGCGCTATTTGCCGGACTCTTACTCCGACCCTCTCTACCTCAGCCTAGCAGCCTGAGCGGCCGTGCATTTCCGTAACCGCCCGCTCCCGTTACGTGCATCCAGTTGCGTTTGCTGATTTTACGCGACCCCAAAAATCTACAGGATCCGTTAAGTTATCGCGTTATTTGATAGGTTCCGTCAGAGCTCTCGTTTTAGCGGAATTGGGCCTGTTCCAGCCCAAGTCCCAGTTCATACCGGCTCTTCAGTTCCCGGTGATGCATAAGCGAAAGGTGGACGGCCGAAGGTAACGTAGATTGGTTTTCGAAAATAGTTCGTTCTCGTATTTTTCGCTATCGGTGTCGAGTCAAAAAAAAGAATACGTTACAAAATGTAATTCTGATGCCCAGGACGGTGTCTACCTTTCTCCCATTTTTAGAGCATATATTCGCCGCGCCATCCACTAATTTCTCATGAGCCTCAAAGGACCTTGCCGACAATTTGCAGCCGAATTGTTACGCTTTTATCAAGCATCAGGGTGCTACAGCACGTTTCGGCATTGGACGTTAACGACTACAGCGGCTTCGGTACGTGGGTACGACGTAGGT